CACACACACACACACACACCAGCATTCCTTTTCCCAGCACACACACGCACACGCACACACACACACGCACATGCACACACACACACACACAATGCTGCTGCTTTCTCCAGCTTCCACAGTACCTGAGATGATCACATATGGCTTTCAGATGATGTTCTGGTTACACACTGGTCTTTGTTCTAGGGTTGTTTGAACGCAGGGATTGTTTTATTTTCTTTTTAAACCCCAGTCATCCCCCCGAGGTCTGGGCCAGCATGCAGACTCGGTAGTGTCTCCCGAATGGATGAGTGACAGACCAAGCACATACTAAAGAGCAAAAATGTGTTGCTCCTGTATATTAACATGGTCTGAGGAGAGGTGGGAGGCAGGTCTTGAATAATATCAAATTATTCTTCAAAAAATTTCAGAGAACCTGATGTAGATTTTTTTTCCAAGCGACATACACATTGAGACTGGTGTCAGGATTCGCTCAGAGCCGGAACCCAGGTCTTAACTATCCAGGGCAGCATGTTTGAGTCCCTGGCAGTGCTGCTGCGGAGGTGTCAGCAGGTGGGACTAGTGACTGCAGAGACCAAGAGGTGGGCATCTTAAATAGTTAGGAAAACACAGTGCAATATACAGGTGATGTAGCACAGAAAAGTATCCTTGAAACCTATGTCCCTCCAATAAATTTGATTTAAAAATAGATAGATAAACTTCAAGATAGTTTGTTTAGCCCTGGCCAGGTGGCTCAGTTGGTTGGAGCATCATCCGCACACCAAAAGGTTGTGGGTTTGATTCCTGGTCAGCGCACATACCTGGGCTGTGGGTTCGATACCTGGTTGGTTCGCATGCAGGAGGCAGCCAATTGAAGTTTCTCTTTCACATCCATGTTTCTACGTTTCTCTCCCTGTTTCTCTTTCTAAAAATCAACAACAACAACAACAACAAAACATATCCTCAGGTGAGGATTAAAAAATTTTTTTAAAGGTAGTCTTAAAAGATTATAAAAAAAGAAAAGCCTGACTGATATAGGAGTAGGATCTGTATTGATTGCAAGTTACCAGATAAAATAAAAACAACACTTGTTTTCCCACCAGTGGCTACAGCTTTGTAAGACTAAATGACCCTTTGTGGTTATGAAATTTTTCTTTTCTGTGGAACAGCTTGATGACTTTCGGTTGCATAAGAAGGGAGAGGCCCACCCCCTTTCCCTGCAGATGTCCTGAGCTGTCCCTTCAGTTTGTGTGTGTCCTAAAGTGAACATTTCCAGATTGCCTTAATGATACAGTCCCTTGACCAGCTTCTCAGCCTCTCCTTATTTCCTAATGCTTACTTCTCCGCGTGTTATGGGATTACAGAGCTTCGCATGGCCATTGAATAGGATTTGAAAAAAGAAAGACAGATTATTACCTGGCAGGCAGCACTTACTATATTTTTATGGCATTGTAGAAAGTAAGTGTGTGGCACACAGGTTGTCCTTATGTTGCTAAGAATTCTCTGCTGAATGTAAAAATCATTTCAGCAAGGGCCATGTAAAATTATTTGCCATACGTACATTGACTATGAAGTACCGCACTTGGCATTAGTCATGTTTTGGCTGAGTGTTCTGCCCGGCATTCGTGAAAAGATGAAAAATCTGCACATCACACAAATAGTTTTCCACATAGGCTCAAAGTACCATCCCACAGCCTCAGTGCGATGTGCTGTGTTGCTTTAACCCCATCTTTGGTTCCAGTGAACAAAATGAAGTACATGTGACTCACAGAAGGCCTGCCCGATGCCGAAGGCGGGCCCGCTGCTGGGCTTATAATGACACCGACAATGGTGTGAGGACGGCCTGGCCCCTGCAGCGGCCATTCTCTTTCTCCTCCTCCAGACACCTGCTCCTGGGGAAAGCATATAATTTTATCTCTGCTAAAATCTGCCATCTCTACTTCGAATTATTTTCCCTTGCAAAATTAAATGGAATTATCCATCACGGGCATGAAAAGTTTGATTGCTAACTGCCTAGGTCTAGACATATGAATAAACCTGTATTATCCTATCTCTTGGATCCATCTCAGAATGCTATGATTTTTACATAAAAGTAAAAATTGCAGGATAAGAGGAGTAAAACTTAATACATATTGTGAAGGTTCACAGAGTAATATGGCCTGTGACTTACTATAACCAAAATTGATTTTCCACTGGTTATAAAACTAAAACAACTATTTGAAAGCAAATTTACTTTAACTGATGAGATTTAAGATAAAATTATAGGAGCCTGTTTCTGATGGGGATTCAGCAAGTCACAGTCCATCACTGGGCTTCCTTCACTCTCCTTTTCATGGAAACAAGAAGGTTGTAGGTAGGCCCATTCTTGGCTCCCAGTAATTTTCCAATTTGGTAGATTCTCATAGTCTCCTGGAGCCTTTTTGTCCTTATAGGTACAATGAGAAGCTTGGCTTAAGAGTTCATGGCTCTGCACATTTGATTTTTAAGCAGCAGTACTTTCTGCAAAAGACATCTTTCCTGGAATCCCAATATATACAAGCAACCAGAGTGGAATTGTTCTGAAGTAAAGAAGTACAACCCAGAGCCTCATTTAGTTCACTCACCCAAATAAGATGATCGCTAAGGTTCTTTCCAATTCAGAATTTTCAGATATTTTGTTTTAATTTCAGCCAGTTATATTAGGACTAAGGGCCAATCCATGTGAAAAGGGGACATCATCTGATTTAAGCAAACACCTAGCAACAGACTTATTGGCATGTGATTTGGGGTAGAGAAGATCTATTCCAAGTCTGTCTCCACACATGACTATGGGAACATGTAGAGGGAGGTCTAGATGGTGGACAGGAGCATGGTGTGAGAGAGACCTTGGCTGGAGTTTGGACTCTACTATTTACTAACCACAACCTTAAGTAAGTTATTTAATCTCCTTGATATACAGTTTTCTCATTCATAAAATGGGATTGATACTGGCACCTACTACCTGGGGCTACTGTGGGGATAACTGAGGTAGCAAGTCTGCAAGGCTCTCGGCACAGTAGTGCAGGCGTGCAGCACTTGCTCAAAGGGTGCGCGCTCATTTAAACACATGTTTATTGAACGAGTGAATGAACGCATGAATATAGAATTGGCTTTCTGTTTCTGACATCTGGAATATCTTTATGTTTCATTTAATTCAGTTTTAAATTTGAAAATTTAGGCCGGCTAAAGCAAATTTGCTGATGCAAATAATCTGATTGTGATTATGATGCAGGTCCATGATTTTTGAAGGAATAAGAAAAATTGGGATGCTAACATAACACACACAGCTTTCATTTAGAAAACAAAGTCACAATTCAGGTCCACCTGGCTTGTCAATATAATTCTCCCCCCCCCCCCCC